TATATATTACTAATTTATATAATCAATATATAAATACAATATATATATATATATATATATATTTATTTCGAATTTATATATATCAAATAGAAATATACATATACATATATATATATTCGAGGACTAACAAGACGTACCGTACAAGCCCAGAGAACAATCTCTATGCGCACGTAGTACAGTTCTCTCAATCGCTTAGTCAGAATACTCTCCACATACGACATCTCCCATCCGAAGAGCTTGACCACACGGATACCATGCAGTAGCTCTGTAGTTGCCTGTGTGTGATTGTGGGTGCATTCGTAATGTGTACATACCTGTGAGTGTTTGTACACATATTGTATGTATGCGTTTATGTATATGTTCCAACATACACGTAATGTATGTGATTGTACCTATACCATGCTGTAGCTCTGTAGTTGCCTGCGTGTGTGCGGGTTTGTATGTGCGAATAGTACGATAGTATATATGCTCGTTGATATATAAAATGTATTATACTTATGTAGATAGATACTTATTGACTTCTGTGTGTTTGTGTACGTGCTATATACACGTGCTGTTTAAGTTTTATTCAATTTATAAAGTTCTGAACCAACACTAACTCTCAATTACTGTATCATGCAGAGATCGTGGAACGGCCCTGGTGTTGCCAGTGTGTATATATGTGGACACAGACGTGAGCCAAGATGTACATATATCTTATTAAAGTATGGGATTGAATGTCTGTATCTATTTTTAGATTATGTGGATCTTATATCATAATATATATAGCACACATGTAGCTTTGTTGATGCGTGTGCCTATCATATGTGCTAATCTCCTGTACAATAGAATGACCTCACTGCTATATATGGACTACCTATTTTTAGACATCTTATATGATAATATATATAGCACACATGTAGCTTTGTTGATGCCTATTATATGTGATAATCTACTGTACAATAGAATGACCTCACTGCTATATATGGACATACCTGAGCACGGTCGTCTGTGATGGGCATATGTTTACTTCGCACATACGCGCCTATGCGTCCCAACACTGTTGAAAGCGGCACCAGTAGAAACAGCATGGAGATACCTACGCGTGTGAAGACGTTGTATTGTACTTTAGTTCCTTTTAGGGTTTAAGGTTATAGAAAATTTAGGGTTTTAAGGTTTTAGGGTTTCAGCGCTATAGGATTATGGGGTTTAAGGTTCAGTTTCAGGGGGACTCGAGTAGGGACAACATGTAGATACGTATGGGCGTGCAAAGAAATTCAATCTCACTTGACTTAGTTCTCTCATTTTCAATTCAGGGTTTTGTTTTTATGGTGATATATGTGTGTGTGCTAATAAGTTCTTATACCGATTTTAGGGTTTTAGGGTTTTTTTGTCCGTTGTCCAATATTTGGTTTAGGGTTTAAGATTTAGGGTTTTAGGGTTGAGTTCTATGGAGATTCCTGTAAATGTGCAAAGGTAGCCGTATTTATATTTTAAAGTTCTCCTAGAGAGTGATCAAGTTGCGAGCGTTCGCGCAGGAGATATATAAATACGGATGGATGGTTTATTACCATTTATTAAATAGGTGTAGTTTACTTACTTTATTAAATACATGTAGTGTATGAACATTTACTATATATGTATATGCGGGCTACAAACATTTACCGAATATGTATATGTGGTTTGATAACAACCACTAGCTTTTATTATATGTCGAGTACGTACGTGCTCATGTTTGGGAAGGAGTGCCCGTCTCTCTGTGAGCTATAGGAGCGTCTAACAACTTAAAGGCGCCGTTCATTATATTCCTGTTCCTCTTTGATCATACTGATGGTGTTTGCACTAAAACCCTAAACCCTAGTACTCGCCCACAGGCCAATAAAGCCTAAATCCCTAAAAGCCTCGAACCAAGGGTGAAACCCTTATGACCAGTATGATAATTCTATTCGGTGTTTAAGATACGTTCCTCAATTGTTTATAGTCTGTTTATTCATGATTTTCTAGTCATGCTTGAGCCTCTGATCGAAATGACAAACACGCACACAATACTAGATAACAACTAGACAACAACTACATAACACCGGAATCACATACGCAGTTAATTGCCAATCGTTTGGTTATAGGCAGTTGGCTCGACATGTGTGAATAGCGCGGATATAATTAGATTGTACATTTTTTATGTAAACAGACCACATCCATTGATCAAAATTAAGAAAACATTATTGATGTTCTTACGACGTTGGTGTATATTTGCGATATTAGTGGAAAATTTACGACAATAGTGGTACATTTACGACATGGCTGGTGTATTTACGACATTGGCTTTACAGAGTCTAAGGGTTCGTACCTGCAAGGGCGGGTAGTCCTACGAACTGGATCAGAAAATATGTCGCAAATGCTATCTGCACCGGCGCGGCCCAGAGCAAGTTGACCAAGGGCATGAGCTCGAAGAATTTCTATTTATAGAACATAAACGGTGCGAATGATAGACCGAGATTGCATTGAAATCCATTGAGGGAATGTGATATCTTTAGGGTTTTAGGGTTTTAGGGTTTTAGCAACTTGCCCCGGGAGCGAGCAAGGTTTCTTGTTCTAAATCTCAAAGAATTTCTATTTATAGCACATGAACGGTGATAACTTTAGTTCGTACCGAACTTCATTGAGGGCTTAACGAATCTTCCAACCTGCCCCCCGGGAGCAACTACACCTTATATCTTGAAAGGGTGGTTGTAGTGTATTATTCTGAGAGAGGTGATGTTTATCTAGGACATTAATAACCCAACACCCTGTCCTGTCCTGTCCTGGTTGGGTGGGTACAGACCGTTTATACTGTCTAGGGTTTATTGGAACCATGGCGACGACATGCCATCGTAAGCCATAGACCTACTAGCAGCAATGAATTTGAAGCACAATACACTCTTTCAGCTTCAGAATGCACAAGGGGTCTGTGCATAAAGTAATATATAGCATATGACATATGACATACAACATAGAATATAAAACATATTGTATAATGTATCACATTTATAGTATATAACATATAACATAACATCCAACATAAAAAATATAACATATAATATATAACGTATCACGTTTATAGTATATAACATATAACATAACATACAACATAAAATATATAACAATGTATAACGTATCACATTTAACATCTAATTACATATAGACGGTACATAGACACACACTGTCAAATTGACACAGGCGTATACTATTATGCATCTACATGTAACATGTAAAATAAACTCTTCCATGTGTGCGAATACAGACCAGCATATACACATTATATATAGACATGCACTACACAGTCTACGGCATGTGGGCAAAACAGGCTCATATACTAAAACAACACTGATCCATATATAGCATATAAAAGTTAATATATATCCTCCAATATGTGCGAATAGAGACCAATACATATAATGTATACATACATGCACTATACAATCTACGACACGTGGATAACACAAGTATATATCATACGTACTGCTGACATGATGCACTTGAAACCCTAGAGCTTCAGAATCCTGCGAAAGACTAATAGATAACATGTCATACTAACGCATACCTGTGAGTCGTTCGCCAGGAGCGTCACAATAGCGCTGTGAAAAGAAAACACATCGAGTTAAGTATTGTGGTACTACACGTATAGCCCCTGTTGCTAAAGACAAGCATCGAATATAGGCTTGAATATAACACTATATGTATGCATATACATGTGTATAGATACATACCCCTGGCTGACCTCACTCCTTGCCGCCTCGTTCAGCTCAAACGAGTGCCTATACACTAAGCTGATGACCAGTGCACGCATACGCTGGCCTACACGGAATGCCTTGTGCAGATGGCGTTGGTTCGCTATACTTCCGATTGCAGAGGATAAGCCCAACCCAAACGCAAAGTACATACCCCCGCCTTGTTCATCAGTAATCCGGCTTACAAGCTGTGTGGATGTGAGAGATGTGTAAATGTGTGTGTGATGTGCGGATCAGAATATATA